GAGAGAGAGAGAGAGAGAGAAAGAGAGAGAGAGAGAGAGAGAAAGAGAGAGAGAGAGAGAGAGAGAAAGAGATAACGCTGTCGCTTTTCCTTTAATATTGAGTTTTAATGGAACATGGGACAATAAACAATAGATCTTAGCAAAGCAATCATTTTTCATTCTAATCTCTTGTCATCAATAACTCTCATGTTTCAGTCGCTTATTTACCGCTATTCTTAATTTAGATAGTGGAAACAGGTTGTCAATTGGTACTGGACGTTTGCATAGATCTATGATGTTTGTCAGTTTACGAGATGAATATGTTAACACTGTGTATGCGAGGTAGTGAATGTACAATTAGTATAAGATGTATGTGATGTATGTTTTCAATACGTAAAACACTTACAAAAGCGTTTACTTGATGTTCTTTATTAATGTAAATTGTTAGGTGAATATTATTAAAGTCAATTAGATACACGTTATATATAATATCTTGGATGCGTCTCTCCTTCTGGATAATTATTCAATCGTAATAATAAAGCCAATTAATATTAATATTATTATACGGCATGCGTGTTTCCTCTTTAATTAATTAATGAGAGAACAGACTGAAGGATCTCATGGGAGTTTTGAGAATAATGGTTAAGTACAAAGTTATTTACGAATATACTTTATTTCATTTTATAATGAGATTTGTGTTAATGCAGACGATATTCATTTCTACATAATTAAAATGAAAATTCTGCTTATCAGTCTACTATTTGCTTATTATTACAAAGAAAAGAAAAGAAGAAAAAAAAAAAAAAAGAAAAAGGCTGAAATATTTTTTTAATGACATTTTAGGCCACATTTCTAAAAGAATTACTATAATTTCGATCAGTAGTCTCTCGTGTCTAAGCAAACGGTCGATCGTTAAATTACATTTTTATTATTATAAAAGATATTTAAACGTCAATTAAATTGACAAGGGAATATTTCTGAGACAAGTTCCTACGTATATAAGCATTGTTAAAATGTTGTTGTAAGAAAAAAAAATAATAAAAATAAAAGAAGAAAATTATTTTACGATCGGTATGAATGTTCGGATGACGGTAGTTAATTCCGTTCATTAAATTTAATTCAGTTGAAAATGAGTTAAAATTAATGATAAACGTACTACTTATCGGCGAACGGCCAGCCAGCCAGCCAGTGCGTTTAAAATAAACGATGCAATTATTAATAATTTTTTTCTTTCTTTCTTTTCCAGAAAAGAGAGAGAGAGAGAGAGAGTCCATAGAAAGGTGCACGTAAAGGTTGATAAAACTCAATGAATCGAAGGTTAGTACGAACAAAAAAAAAAGTCCAAAAAAAAGGAGATAAAAGGAAGAAGAAAAAGGAAAAAAGCAATGAAAAAAAAAAAAAAGAAAAATACCCGAGCGCAATTTCCGAAACATTCCGGCTAATTACCTGGCGGTCCTGTTACACGGCAGCACAGTAGTAGTAGTCTTAAACGCGAGTTCGGCCTTCCTTCCATGGGTGACAGACACAACACAGGTTTCCATACGAACGCATCAATACGCATACTCTCTCTCTCTCTCTCTCTCTCTCTCTCTCTCTCTCTCTCTCTCTCTCTCTCTCTC